ATCGCCCAGCCCTAGTTTGTTCCCCCGGTTCAAATCAGGGACGGGCAGGGAGCAGGCAAAGATTTTCTTGTAAAACAAAGGGGGCCTAGCAAAAAAACCACTGGTGTAATATGAAACGACAGACGTTTTAATATCCCCATCTGAAATATTTTATCATATCACTCAGGTCTAGTCCACATCTGGGTAATTCTAAGAGAAAGTTAAAAAGGCTTTGGGCTGGATATTTGAGCATGTTGACACTACGTCTGTAACTGGCAGGTGTCTGCTGGGCTTCAGCTCTGCTGATTTGAGCTCTTGACTGTGTGTTTTTATTATGCACCAGGTTCATAGAGCAGTCAGGTCCCCCACATGTAGCATGCAAGTTGGGACATCGTACACAGCAAAGTGCCTGGGATATTGTGTGGGAATATCTATGCCAAATATGGACTAGAGCAGGGGTGGCAACTCCAGGCCTGAAGGGCCGGTGTCCTGCAGGTTTTAGATCTCACCCTGGGTCACGACACCTAAATAAAATGAGTTCATTATCAGGCGTCTGGAGAACTTCAGGACATGTTGAGGTGATTTAGCCATTCAAATCAGCTGTGTTGGATCAAGGACACATCTAAAACCTGCAGGAGTCCGGCCCTCGAGGCCTGGAGTTGGACGCCCCTGGGCTAGAGGTTCCCAAGTTTGACTTCCATGTGAACCATGTTTATAAGACCATGAATCCTTCACATTTTAAATGTGGCTGACTTTGCAGTAAACTTACTCTTATGTTCATATATTCAATTTCTCCTTCTACACTTGGTCACTGTATTTAAATACAAACTAATAGAACAGGTTTAGGAGGGTTTTGTTTTTTAAACAAATGAAACTGCAGATTTATGTCTTGAAAACGAGCTAATATTAGCACTGGGCCTTTGTGCTGCCATATAATTGGGCGCATATGAGTGACTGTGACTGCGCGTGTGTGTGTGTGTGTGTGTGTGTGTCGTGTGTGCGTGTGTGTGTGTGTGTCATGCTGTGTGCGCTGCTGTGGTCCTTTTAGTGTGACTTGTGGTTCTCCTCTGCAAATCTATTGTAGGCATTGGTACAGCAGCTGTATACACACAGCTACAAGGCTGCTCCTCATCACCTACTCTCACCTTTCAGAACCTGAAGTCCCGCCCCCTCCCCGCCGTATGCCAGTGTTTCATGCAGCAGATAATAAATAAAACACTCAGCCACTGTGTTTGCAGAGTTGTTAGTTAATACCTTAGTGATATATAAATGTTGTCTAAATTAAGTGAAATTATTTTATCATTCATAGACACACATTACAACTACCATATTTTCTATACGGTTAAGGCGCATTAAGGAACAAAGACAGTCAGATAAATCAAACTTTATTAAACTCATTCTTCTTGCTTCCTCCACTTCTGTACCATTGATTCATTAATGTTGAATTCTCTGGCAGCTGCTCTATTCCCATGTTGTTGCAGTATATTAATGACTAACCTCGTATTGTGGATGGATTATCTCAGTTGTTCTCCTGACTGAAGTTTGGTCCGTTTACAGCATCCTGCCATGCGATTGCATTTGTCTCTAACCATGAAGACCTTCACGTTAACTTTTATAAGTGGAAAAGTGTTAGTGTTCGTCCTCCAGCTTCACTGTTTATGTTATGCTAACATAGCTGTGTCGCTAGCGATCACGTAGCACATCATTATATACCAGCTAGCCCAACTTCAGTAACCCTACAAACGTCACTGCTGTTTAGTTTTCTGTCTTCATTTATGTTGGAAGTGATAGACAGAGCTGTACGTTTGAATTTTTTCAGAAATCTCTCAGTCAGAACATGTATGTCATGTTGGGAAAGCTAACTAGCTAACTCCGCTAACTTCCTGCTAACGTTCCAACTCTGTTAAATGTAATAAATTCTGTTTTCATGGATGCCTGGATGTTAAACTTAATTGTTACACCTGGTAAAGCAGCAACGCTGATCATTTTATTAAAGATGAAAGAATTTAGACAGTTTTTAACTCTCAGTGATCTCGTTTTGTGACTTTGGGACCTGAAGCGACAGAGTTTGGACCCAGATTCCTCGCGAGGCTCCTGACTACGGTAGCCGTAATGCTCCAACAGTCCATCAAGCGGTGCGGCTTCGTAGCTCACCAAAGTCATATTAAAATATTTTTGAGCGCCGTGTAGCAATAAAATCGGTTGAGGTCAGTAAGCACAACCAGAATTCTTTTTTTTCTTTTTTTTTTTTTGCCTGTCCCGTTTGGCTCTTTTGCCATCAGAATTTTGTCTAAAGGCAGAAGAAAGATGCCCAACGGATTTACTTTACCAAATTGACCATCCCAGCCTTGCCGTAATGGTCCATTTGATTCACCTTTTATTGTTTATTTTATTTTTTTTTTCACTTGCTAGATACGGGACAGACTTGAATGAGGAAAAGAAAAGGGAGAAAGGAAGAGGGGAAAAACAGCGGAGAAGAGGGACGGGGATAAAGGGCAAAAAAACAAAAACCAACTAAATAAGCAGACAAAAATACATATATCGATCACCTGGATCACCTGTTGAGAAAGAAAAAAGAAAACAAGCAGAATAAAATGAGAGCAATACAATAAACAACATCACGATGATCTATGGGAATATAACAGTAAATACAAAATATTAAACATTATTGTGCAGCACGTAAGATCGACAGTGCACAGTGTGCTTTGAGGTAGGAGCCTTGTGTTCTGGGGGCCTCTGGATGTCTGGAGTCTTGATCTCCTCCATACCTGCTTCATGCCCTGGAGGACGGGGCTGTGGCCCCCCCACACCCTCTAGCAGATCATTACATGAAGGAACCTTTTAAAAACAAGCGTCCATGCTCACAGGTGTACACACGGGTGCTCACACACACAAACTACACCCTTTTTGGCTCCTACCTCAAAGCACAACCAGGATTCATACATAAGGAGCACTGTCAATTTTCGAGAAAATTAAAGGATTTTAAGTGCGCCTTATAGTGCGGAAAATACGGAAGACTTTAGGCATAATTGACCTGCCAAACCACAATCAGTAACCATTTCAGTTCTGATGTCTCTGCAGTGTCCATTTCACCCATCAGCCTATCAACAAATGAGATTCACAGCGGCTGATATTTGTGTTTTTCCAATCCATTTCTGCATTTGTATCTACAGACCACTTTGCACAGCTGGTAATGTGTTTATTAAAACATACTCTTCATAAGAGTGTAGAAAACCAAAAGTAAACACGCCTGTATTCATATAAACATCAGTCATTGAATCGTTTTGTAATTCTCATTAGCATGAGCATGACTCACAGTTGCACACTTAGTGCATTTTTGATCATGTGTTATGCAGTAGGTGCCTGTAGGATGTGCTGGGTTAACGTCTTCATTTTGGCCTGCAGCAACCTGTTGACTCTGCAGTGTTATAGTCTTCAACATGGCCAGATCAGATTAAATCTTGAGACACACACTCAATCTTTTTTTAATCATTTCAGAGAACATTACATTAACTTACCTTCATTTCCTGGAGACCAGATCGTGTCCACTACTTACCCTTCTCCACGATTCACTTCGCCGGGAACCTCTTTTTCTCCCCAAATGGAACTCTATTGTACCCAACATATCAGTAATACAACTACACACACAGGAAGCAAGTGGTGACGCTGTTTGTGAGGCAGACGAGAAAGGAAACCAGTGAGCCCATTAATGGCAGCAGAGCACAATGAAGACTCTCACACTGAGCTGAATTATTCCCAGCTCCATGCATGACTGGAGTCCTGCTCCAGATTTTATCAATGTGCGACACAATGGTGCAGGCAAATACGCACACACTGACAGCTACACGCTAACATGTCGCTCTTTATTCTGTTTAAACACACTGTATGTTGTAGATCATTTAGAAACACCAGTTAGTGTAGCTGAGGGGAAGCAGAGTACTTGGAGGACACCCACCCAGGCAGGGGGCCATGCCGACTCCTGCAGTACGCTCTGCTGGTTGGTGCTGGGAAGCATCAGAGCTGACTCTGCTTCCCGCAGTTGTGTGATGAATGGAAATGGAGAGGTTTAAAATGTCAAACTTACTTATCCCGTATAATGAGACATTTTAAAATAAGAAACATTTGACATAAAGAGAATGGATCAGTTTTTATAAACGGTATATAATGTGATGTTTGACTTCATGTGCACCTTAACCAACTGTGCAGACTATATAGATCAGATGCTTATTCATGGACAGCACCAACTCACTCACTGCCTTCCAGCAGAACTGTAACAAATCCACAGCAGGGAGATTACAGTCGTTTGTCTCAGTCTGCTCACATCGTGTCAGCCCCCCTTTATTGTTCTCTGTAAACCAGACATGGGTCTCTTCATGTGTTTTCCACCTGCTCTTTCATCCTGGAACATCCAGTTAGGTCACAAAATATCAGCTTTTTCTACCATCGGTTCTGTACATTACCACAAGTTTCAATAAAACAACTAGGGTGCAGTTGAAGTGCAGACTTTCAGCTTTAATTTAGTGGGTTGAACAAAAAGATTGATTCAAAATGAATGAAGAAGAAACACCCAGTGCATCATGGGAGTCCCCCAGCAGCCCAAGCTTCAGAGATCCAGCCCTAACTATATGCTGTAGCAGAAAGGAAAGTTTTAAACCTGATCTTAAAACACGTGGGGGCACCTGCTGTGCTCAACAGTGCTCGGTTTAGGTGCCCATCAGGTCTCAAAGATGGGGTCGGATTATTCAAGACGCTGTTTGTGACCGTTTCAAACACAGTAACCTGCTAACTCGGACTCATTAGAAGGAGCTTCAAAAAACAAACTAATTCATTTTTGCAATATTTTTTATTTCTCACACCTAACTATTTACACTTTCTTCCAAAACAGCGTATGATTACATTAAACCTCTCTCACACTGCATTACTATACAAAGTTAAACATTTGTAAACGTTTGTGACTTTTAACCACTAGTCGGTCGTAGTCTTAAATGTGCTTTTTTTTCCTTCTTTCTCTCTTGCATCAGACGGAGATTATCAAGGGGACATGTGGCAGTGTGGGGATGACGTTCAGGCACGTCACTGCCAGTGAGGGCGATGCAGTGCATGTTTGCATCGAGACAGTTTTGCCCAACTCCCCAGCAGCTTTGGCAGAGCTGCAAAAGGGTGATCGTCTCATTGAAATTGGAGGTCCGAGGTGTTTGTGTTACTTTCTAACGTGAAACATTCGTTTCTTTGCACTTCTAATTTGAAACTTGCATGATCTCATTCTTCTTTTCTCGTTAACAGGTGTTAAAGTGACGTCCTCGGTTCAGGTACCAAAACTGTTAAAGCAGGCCGGAGAAAAGGTGTTGGTACTTTACGAGAGACCAGTACGTCATCAGACTCCCTCTTTGGGAAACCCGGCAGCTCTGCAGGAAGGACTTGAAGAAATTGGTTTCATGTCCCAGCAAGCAGGTTATGAGGAAGAGCCAGCCCCCATCAGCACCCTTTCTGACCTGTCTGACAGCAAAGACGTAGACTCTGAGTTTGAAGAGTTGATTGTGGAATCCAAGTCTAGTGGTGGCACTGCTGGGCAAAATAGCAGTGCCACAATTATCAGTGAGACCAAGGAGGATTTCTTACTTACAGTAAACCAAAGCCCCAAAAGGACTGTAGCCAACCTGGCTTCTAAGCCTCTTGGTACTATATCACCCATCCTCAACCGCAAGTTAAACCTGGTGGGTCTCCAGTCACCACTAAAGCCCCAGCCCAAAGAATCACCAAAGCCCTCCCCACAAAAGACCAGTAGTGATTCAGGGGAGGTTCTGCAACGCCCTACTGTCCCTCCCCCACCTCCCCCTTCCCGCCCTCCAGTTCCACCACGACCGCAGATAAGGTTGACGTCGGCATCCTCCGAAACGAGCCTTTTGGAAAGTGTGGATTCTGCAGCTGCTAATGTCACCGCTGCTCCTTCCATTACTAAGACGACCAGTGCTTCAGAAAAGTCTCCAGAAAAGGTTCAGCGCGCTGGACCCGGTGAGGACAAGTCTGCCACCGAGAAGGCATGTGTCAAACAAACGGAGGCGAAACAGTCCAGCAAGGCAACGGACACGAGTGAGGAGGTACTTCCATCAACTGTGACCAGCAGCAGCAGCAAGGCCGATCAAGCAAAGGACAAAGCATCGGAGAGCTCCTCCAGTACACGGGACAGTGTAGAGGACCACTCCCTGTGGGAATCCACAGAAACCATGTTTCGTAACCAAACGGCACACTGGTCCAAGGCGTCTGTGGTGTTTGAGGTAGAGAGCAACCATAAATACCTTAATGTGGCCCTGTGGTGCAAAGATCCCTTTAAACTGGGCAGTCTGATATGCCTGGGTCATGTGAGCCTCCAGTTGGAGCACATAGCTCTGGAATGTATGGCCACATCTTCAGGAGAGTACCAGAGCACCTTCAGGTTGGGGGCTCCAGAGCCCAGAGCTAACGTCAGTCGCACTGCATTACGCAGTCTCAGCACCCACAAAGGTTTCAATGAGAAGCTGTGTTATGGAGATGTTACTTTAAACTTCTGTTACTTAGCTGAGGGGGAGCTGGACTATCCAGTTGGGCTGGTGGAAAGAGAAACAGAGGGCAGTGTTCAGGAGGAGGACCTGAGGGAGAGGGAGCCCGTCCCTGCAGCGCCACGCGAGGACTTGACCTACAGCGCGCTGCAGTTGCAGGAGGTCCGTCATAACTTCCAGGACACACAGTTCCAGAACCCCACCTGGTGTGAGTACTGCAAGAAAAAGGTTTGGACCAAGGCAGCCTCTCAGTGCATGGTCTGCGCCTATGTTTGCCACAAAAAGTGCCAGGAGAAGTGCCTCACTGAAAATCCTTTTTGTGTGGCCACAGCCGAACGCCGTGGAGCTGACCTCGAAGCCAAATCCACCATAAACCGCGCCACCACGGGTCTAACTCGCCACATTATCAACACCAGCTCCCGTCTGCTTAACCTTCGCCAGGTGCCCAAGGCTCGGTTTACCGAACAGGTAGCCGACGTGGTGCCGGGAGCGGTGGAGCCCTCGCCTAAACATACCCCCAACACATCTGACAATGAAAGCAGCGATACTGAAACGTACACCAGTGGTGCCAGCCCCTCAAAGCAGCCAGCTGGAAGCGGTGGGAGCAGTAAACTGGTACGTAAGGAGGGCGGGCTGGACGACAGTGTGTTCATAGCTGTGAAGGAGATAGGTCGCGACCTTTACCGGGGGCTGCCCACAGACGAGCGCTCCCAGAAGTTGGAGTTGATGCTGGACAAACTGCAACAGGAAATTGACCAGGAGCTGGAGCACAATAACACCCTTCTGCTGGAGGAGAGGGAAGCCACAGATGCACGCCGCAAGGCCCTTATCAGCACTGCCCTGGCCAAGTCAGGGGAGAGACTCCAGGCCCTCACCCTGCTCATGATTCACTACCGCGCAGGGATCGAGGACTTGGAGTCGGTGGAAAGCACTTCTCCTTCAGAGCAGCGAGGCTTTAAGGGCAAAGAAGAAGGTCTGGAGGAAGAGGCGCTCCTGGGGACAGAGGTCTACGACAGCGACATGTGCAGCCCCGTAGATGTGCCGCTGCTGGACGACATTACCGAAGAGCAGATCTGTGTGGAGGCTCTGCACTAAAATAAGACTGCATTTAAAATACGGGGATGTGGGCGTCGAGCGTCACCTGTAATTTGTGTTTGTTTCCTTTTTCATGTCAAAATGAAAATAGTTTCAAGGCCGTTCCTTACAAGGACCGTACGGTAAAGCCGCTATTGAGCTACTGATTTCCATGCGTGAGGTTTTTAAAGGGAAGAATGAAAGTTGCACGTGAGTTATCGAACGCCAGCTACACATTGATCCCTTTGGTTTCCTGCGACCTGAGAATGTCACTGTATGCATTTAATGCAGGTTGCTGTCTTACCTTTATTTTGGAGAACAATTATGAAACATGAAGAGCAACAAGGGTTTGTATTGTTGGCTGAAGGATCCTGCGAGCAGTCCTGATTTTTCTTTTGTAAAATGTTTGAGTTATCACAGCGATGGTTGGGGTTTCACTTCTGCACATGTGTCGTTTATATATTGTTTTCCTCAGTGTTTTGATTGGTTGGTCTGTATTCAGACAATCTGTTTTTATTTTATTGTTCTTTAAATGTCCCTGGGTGCAAGATGATCCCATCGAGTTAAGAATATTTCTGTAAATGTTATATTTCGTTGAGAACATTCCTCCGGTGTGCACAGCGGTTCTGTGGCACGTTGTTGGTAAGTGTGAGAGAGACGAGCTCTGAATGTGAGCCGGGAGCCTGTGTGATGTTGAAACCGCTTTAGCACCTGTGTTTTCAATCCACACCTGGTTTGATCCTGATTGTTTGCCTTTAAGTTGTTTCCAAACGAATGTCTGTTCTTTTCCACGTTGTGTCTGTACACAGCTGTTTGGCACCACCCTCCCTCCGCCCGTCCTTTAAAATGCTGAGCATTAAGTCTGTTTGACTGTGTCAAAAAACAGCTATAGCTCCCAAAGCGCCATGATCTTCATTCACTGTTTACAGCTGCTGAGAACAAGAAGACATCTGCGTGTTGGGGAAATCTGCCCGTAACCCTGAACGCAGTCCTTGTGACATGTCATGTGATGCTATAGAAGGAGATGTACTGTATGAAACGCTCGAATAGAAGAAGCCTTTTGTTGTTAAATAGACTTCATGTGTAAGTTATGAGGAGCTAAAACACTGCAGTGAATGAAGTACAAGAGCAGCAGGTGTAAAGGCAAACCTCTTCATTGTTGTGAGTATGAGAATGTCTCATCTTTGCTGACAGCAAAGAACAGATGTTCACCTGTGACTCGCTCTGTGTCCTTGTGGCTTCTGGTTGAACGTCACTTTGTCAGTGGAGAGCAGGTGTGAATGGGTGAAGTCAGTGAAGCTGACCTATTCAAAAGCCACGAGTGAAGATCTGCATAGACGAGCCTACAATCTGCTCTTCACACTCCGGTGTTACCGACTGAAGACTCAACAAGATCAGAAATGTCCCCGTCTGCTGTGGTTAATCTGTTGCTTATGTGCTGTGGATATTGACACACTGGTTGCTATAGCTGTCTTTTGATCTTTGTGCAATATTTGTTTTATGAAGCGCTGCTGCTGCTTTTCCTCGTCCACTGAACTCATACTCACAGCCCTCACCGTGGAAACTCCACAGTGAGTAAAAGCTCCGCCCACTGCTTTGAGCAGATTGAGATGGTGTGTTTTTTGTGTGTATGTATGACGGATGTTGTTTTTTGAGAAAGCCTCGTGTGATGAAGCTTTATTGTACATACGCTAAATAAACAAAATCACATGAACTCCCATTGGTTCATCGTGTTGTTGCTTCTCTGCTTGAGCGCTAAAACGCTCTTTACTACCAGTTTCATTCACACAGACGTTCAAAACGCTTTCTCTGTGCCCAAGTTATTTCGAACCAACACTTATTGATTAATGCGTCGGGAGAAACTCGGGGCTTATTTCAGTAACGTTGATGCAAGTCTTCACGTGATGACCCGCACACCATCGTTCAGCCTTTGTAGTGAACTCAGCGTCACAAAAAGCTTTATTTTACTATCAAGAAGTTCCACTTGGAAGGCCAAAACCAAAAGTTAGCTATGACACTACTAGCACGGTGTATTCAGATTGAATTTGGAAACGTAGTGGCTTAAAGCCAACACCATATTTCCCACAGAAACCAGGACCATCTATGGATGGGAAAGCTGCTCAGTTGGGCCTGTTTTCATGAGGTGCACCTATAACGCTACATGCAAAGACCAGTGTGAATATGTATGATGACAACGTTGTACAGTTTGACTTCTGTGCTAAAATTGCCACACAGTAGCAAAAGTGCATGTATGTATTTATGTGCATCAAAACCTCAGCCTTTACGTTGCTCTAAGTGCTCAGTTTCAGATCGATTGTTCTACTGTTGGCTCAGCGTGAGGTCAAAGAAAGGGAACATATAAGAGGGTGTTTTAGGAAGAGCTAAGCTACATTTACCAATCGGGACCAATGGCAGTGTGAAAGGCTGTTTTAAAGCCGTTCCATTCTCAATATCACTTGTCGAACTTTCCTTTCGATTCTCATCGAGCTCTCGTTGGCTCCACATTGGGAGTGACCACCATTGCCAAAAAGCATTTGTTACTTAATTACTCCCAGGAGCACGTCATTTGTTACACTACTTGTTACATTACTTTTGCATTTCTCTGTAAAATGACCTGAAACACATTCTTACATAATTACCAGTTAACACTATAAACCTGTAGGCTGCAGACGCACACACTAACACAAATCCCTATCCTAACGAGGACACACGTGTCTGTCTCAGTATTTAGGCATGAACACAAAGCAAAACCTGCACAGAGACTTTAAAGATTACAACAGTGACTGTGCTTTAGAAACAGAGACTGACTACTCATCACTGCTCTTTGTGTTGAAGTTTGGGCTGTGAATGCTGCAGCCTGCATTCACTTCAGTCTTGGCTAGCTTACCGTTAGCATGCTGTCTGTGCTGATGTCTGCAAAGAGCCAAAGTTGTGTAATACAGTTGTTCATGACCTTTTTTGCTGTCTGAAAGAGACGTTCCTTCACAGACATACAGAATAAGACTAACCTGTGAAAACACTTGACAGCAGCTTCTTAATGTGGAAATATTCACAGTTCAAAGAGAAAGCTACTTTGAGCTGTGAATAGTACAAAGCTACGCTGAAAGCGTTCATGGAGACAGAAATAAGGTCGCCTTCTCTACGCTGCTGTAGTTTCCTCTTAAAGTTTTTTAGAAGTTGTTCTTTGAAACCCAAGAAAGTTTTTAAGTTCCAAGTGCAAGCCTTTCATTTACCGTATACGAGTGGCCTGACGCCATGTCTCAGTACCTTTGCTGTATTCTTTGGTTGCACTAGGTTAACCCCCAAAATAACCAACCCATTAATGTCTTAAACAATTCTTTAAAACCTCTAAAAGGTTTTTCAAATGATCCTTTTTTTAAGTTTAGAATTTGAGTTTAAATGTCTTCATTTTGCCTTTAAGTCACATATTTAATTAATTCATTAAAATTTTCATTGAACTGAGTCACAAAGATAACTTGGCAGTTTTAAGTGATTGACAGTAAGAAACAGAGTCTGATTAAACATTTGCAAATGATGCTTGAATGACTGGAAAACAGTCTAATAACAAAGTGCAACGGATTGAACCTAGTGTGAAATTAGCAGCGAGGCTGTAGACTCGTTTCCAATCAAATACATCGATAACTTCTCATCTCTGCTATTTTTTTAACGCATTAAGGATTTTGTTTTGCTTTACCATTGAAAATGATAATCATCACAGCAGAGACAGCACCGCTGCTAGTGTCATTGAATGATGATCTTTGATAGCGTGTTCCCAGCTCCTCATTGAAGGCTGTGTAGTGTACCATTTAAGGCCATAGCCCCGCCCCCTTCAGAAATTGTGAAACTAATTTGTAAAATAGTTGCACACAGAAATGTAATATTACATAGAAAGCTCTGGTTCACCTACACTGCTGCAAGAACAAGTGTTTCAGGCTTCAGTGAAGAGGGAAAGGAGGTATCGTGTGAGCATCTGCAAAGTAATTGAAGGCCAGTGTTGAGATGGACAGCCTGATTACAGAGTGTCTGCTCCCACATTCCCCCGTCATGACAACCCATCTGCTGTCTTCAAGCGCTCGGCACGACTAATCAACATGAGGATTTCTGGGACCTGTTAAAGTGCTACGTGTTAGCCACACGCATGTTATTTTTGTGTACATTCTGAGGTATCATGTGGATGATATGAAGCCTCAGCGCGACCAACATTTGGTCTGAATGCTCAGTGTTTTAAATTCACCAAAGGTTAATTGTGCAGAAAATCCTGCCGTCCAGATATTTAGAGGTGTCGTCTTTACGGAGAAAACTGCTTTTGCACAGTATACAACATTTAATAGAGCATATGGTGTTCCCACAAGTATGAAAAACAATCCAGTCAAATACATATAAGACTGACAGAGTGACATATTTTCAATAGATTCTGACCAAAACCACAAAACGTGCACAAAAATACCCAGAAACGACTCGTAGATTGGTCGTTAGAGTTCAGAGAGGAGTGTTGGGCGTGTTGATCCCAGCTCAGTCCAGCGAGGCCCCTTCTGGATAAACAAGTCTAGATGGTTTATATTAATGGTAGTGTTTTACTCTTGCTTAAATCTAGTACAGGTTTTCACAGTTCAGAAAGAGGACAAAGAAAAAGCATATGGCACAAGATTCAGTACATTATAAACACCATAAACATTACAAGAACCTTTTTAAGAAACAAGGCCATCAAAATGTAACAACTAATTAGTTTGTAGTTTTACAAACATTTTGACAAACAGCGCTATACTACAAAGAAACAAAAAATGATCTGTCATCTATCTTAAGACATAATCTCATGATGGTTCAAAGGTTACGGGGCGGAGCCAAAAACTGCACTGAATCCAGCTTGCATTCAATAATCATTTGCTGCACAAGCTAGTTATCCTGTAGGGTCAGCTACGCTGTCATGATACAGACGTTTCTCTGTCTTTGCTTTCAGTTGGGATGAATTAAGCTTGTAATAGAAGGTCAGTCCAGTTCTGCACTTTTAATATAACATTCACACCATTGCTCCATAGTGCAGTGGTTAACACATCGAGGTTCAAGAGTGTGAGGGGATACCTGCCACTGCCAAGACTGTCTGCGTCAGATCAAACGGTCCATCCGTTGTGCATCAGCAGCTGAAGGTAGCTTATGTTCTTGACCCGGTATAATACTGTATGATGTGCACGCTGTGTCGAGTACACAGCGTGCACATCATACACACTATCGTATGTTTTAAACTTTCTTTCCCTCTGTGAACGCTCTGATTTACCTCATGTCTAAATAGAGCTGTACAAATAAATTTGACTTGACCCTGTGCATGTGTTTTTATTTTCTATCAAGCTATTCGTTATTATCATTACAAACTCAGATGTTTCTGGGCTCACCTATAAACGAATGATGATTGTGAATGACATCCAGTCACACTGCGTCATGAGTCACATTCTGTACCTGATTTAAATGTGGCCACGCCCTCTTGACTCACGCCGTCATTGTCACTGCTACACATGAAGCTTACGATCTTACAATCCTGACTCACGGATGCTTGTATTTGCTAGTTCTTGTTGCAGATGCACTTCATACATACAAGCCAGCAGAATGCAGGAGCACATCGCTGCAATCACAAGTGTTTCTAGGTTAGCAGTACAGCACACAGCTGCTGCCAGCTGCCAACATATCAAAGCCAACAATAAACATGTTCTCCAGTATGCTGACCTAGTCCTCCGCTCTGGTGGAGCTCGTTGTGATTGTACTAAACAGATACAGCTTCTCAACACAGACTTCTTGTCTTTTCCATAACTGATATTTTGACACAGCACAGGAAGCACAGATGTAAGAAACAACATTAATGATGGCTCAGAAAGGCTCAGGGCAAGGTCACCAGGAAACAACCCTACCCCATACTCAACCACAGCTGGTTACACGCTTCTAACTGTCAATCAAAATGCTGCTGCTTCCACTATTGGCCACAATAAAAATCAGTGCAGAAACTGCATGCTGTTGTGTTGTCCAACAGGATCTGTATGCTTCATCTGGTTCCCTTCAGAAATGAATGAATTAAAGTTTTATTTTAAATCAGTTTCCTTCTGTCTGTTTTGAATTTTTGTTCTAATAAATATATTCCAGTACACATAAAACTCTGCGCCCAACAAAGTCTTGCAATTATGCATTTTTACACTATTTTAGAAAGTGAAGAGCTTACGGTTAAAGTCAGGATTGTGTCAGTGTTTATGAAGTCCTCCAGCTCATAGTCCCAGTATGCACTGAGCCATTAGAAGGAGCCCAGACCTGAGTCCAGTTAACATTACAAACCAAACTGTGTCCAAACGGACGTTGGTGCTCTTCGTGTGCCAAAACTATGACATATAACGAGCACTTCTCAGATGCCAGTCAGACTGGAACATGTAGCAATTTAAGGCAACAGTAATTAGTCCAAATCTTTTGCTGTAGACACTGATTTATTAATCAGTATGAAACTACACTGGCAGTTTTGAGGCAATAGAAAGCATAAAGGTCCAATGTGTCTTCTTACAACTCTGCTCTTCTGCCTACAGCGAACTGTCCACATATGGACACAGCCTTCATGATGCCATTGTTATTTTCCCGACTCACACGTAGAGGTTTGCTGTTTTGGAGCCATATGGACAAAAGTATTGGAATCCAGGTGTTTTCAGTGACAATGCCACAGGTGTATAAACTCAAACCCCTCCCCTCCAGAGTTAAGAGTCGCTATGGTTACAGCAGCTCAGCCACAGTGTAACAGGTAAAGTTACAGTCGGGAGTCACTGAATGCTACTGTGTAAAAATCAACACTCAGTAACTGGTTTCCATGGCTGAGCACAGTATGCAGGGGTAATGTGTCAGCAACACAGTACTTTTGTCCATATGAGTGAAATCAGTGCTAGCTAGAGTGGTTAGCAAGTTGCATCCATAAACCATATAAACTGTCTAATAGGCTTTGAAGGTAGGGCAGAACCCGGAGATTGGTTTCCATCAGAGCAGACAAATGCTTCACCAGCAGCATGAACAGGACCTGTGTAGGGTCGCCTTTCATCAAAGCATTCACACAATAATGTGTGCATTATTTAAAAAGTACCTCATACGTCTGTTGTGAATGAGGAAAATAGTTGTAAAGACTTTTTGTAACATGTTTATTTCTATTAGTAAGCCGACCATTGCAGACCAGAGCCCCAAGACGGGGTCCATGCTGTTGTGCTAAAGTATGCGTGTGACTAAGCTGTGGTATATGCTGGTAGCACTGGTGTAATCTGGACATGGGCTTTATTCTAATTGACTTTTATCATTGAAGGTTGCAGAGATTCTAAAAACATGCAGTCTCTGTTCTTGCTAGAAGGATAAACATGTATTGATAATGTGTTTAAGAATACATTCCTCATCTAAGTAACTTCCTGACACAGGTCATCTACAGCAGCGGTGCAGGGGAGGCCTTTCATGGAAATATCAAAAGAAATCGTCTGACAAATCCTCCTGGATTTTGACAAACTCCACTTATCGCACAAATCCCCATTTTTAATACCAGGTTACACACCTAAATCTGACACTAATACCCAGGGCTGTTATGTTAAAACTGAATGTCCAGTACATGGATAAAGACAGCTCAGCAAACTGCACCTAAAAGGTGTTTTGCTCCCATCGAATTAAGGCTGTTGGCTAAACAAAATACGTGCAACACAATGCGCTTGAGACCACAGATAAAGGACAACTTTGGTTTGCTCCAGTACAACTGCTAAGAAGACAGTGAACAGTGACGATTGAATGCAGGACATTCACGTGGAAATATCTTGGCTGTTTCGTTTCATTTGCTGTGATTTTCTTCTATTCCTTCTTTTTGTACAACAAAATAGATCCTCTGAAGGGTTACCCTGCATGGCTGGGGTCCTGTTAATCATAATCGTCATATTCTGGATCCATGTCTTCACCCTGGTAGTATGCCCCCTGAGTAGAGTACGATCTCGTCTTCATTGAACAGTTTGTGTCCATTAAAATCGCCTGAAATGACAGTTGTTGAAAAGTGTTTCAGTGGCTGCTCTTGGTTGTTTTTTTAACTGTGCATGATTTTGAAAACTTTCTGACAGAACCTGAATTTTGAAATTCACATATTGTACTCAAGTTGTGTAACATAATCACTGCATTTCTGGTGTTAGCTCAGGAGCATTTCTCTGTATGTCCTCGTGCTTTGTCACATGTTCCCTCATGGTTGTGTGCTTCTCTGATCTGATTTTTCTAGTTTTCTCTCTCAGGTAACGGCATTAAAACTGCTTTTTGAATTCATTCCTGTCTCCCGAATCGTTGGCTCTGCCCTTGGACTACCACACAGCTGTTTTGTGACAAATGTAGGAGCTGGCTGACTGTATTTAGGTGTATTTGGACTCTTACAATTTTCTCTTCTTGTCCTGGTGGGTTCCTCAGAAAGATGCAGAGAGGAGCAAATATTATATCCACTATTCCAATGATGGTCATCAGCCAAGGGAAGCCAATACTTTCAGCAATGGAACCTCCAATAGATGGACCTGCATCAGGAGAAAACGGACCACTTACTGGTTTAGTCTGTTGCTTTGGTGGAGTTCATCACCTTGCAGAGCAGCTAAGCGGTCAGATTTTATGTGGCCTGCCACTTTGTGTTTGAGTTGCTTTCGTCTCCAAATGCTTCCACTTTGTTGTCTGTGAAGGTTCTCAGTCATCCAGGTCATCGTAGTCTAAGGAGCTTGCAAAGAAAAGCGTCTGGACTTCTTTAAGTTGCTTGAAGACGCTTCACCTCTCATCCCAGAAGCTTCTTCAGTTCTAAGGTCAAATGGTGGAGAGTCCCAGATATAAACCTAGTGGGAGTGACCCCCCACAGAGGGACAAAGGACCCCTGATGATCCTCTAATGACCTGAGCCAAGGTGTGAAAGCGGGTGTGGCAGACAGTCACCTTAACGCCCACTCACATCCTGGGCCATCTGACCTCAGGAAATCACATGATAGGGTGGGGCCAGGTTTCACAGCTCACCCGAAACTCTGGCTGATTGGGACCCACACCCGTCTTCACACCTTGGCTCAGGCGATTAGAGGATCATCATGGGTCCTTTTGTCCCTCTGTGGGGGGAAAATCCCACAGGGTTTAAATCTGGGACTCTCCACCATTTGACCTTAGAACTGAAGAAGCTTCTGGGATGAGAGGTGAAACGTCTTCAAGCAACTTAAAGAAGTCCAGACGCTTTTCTTTCCAAGCTCCTTAGACCTTCCACTTTGTTATAACAGTCGTGCAGAATATTTAGTAGTGAGGAAATTTCACGAGTGGAGCTGTTGCACAGGTGGAACACTATCATGGTACCATGCTTGAGTTACTGAGTTCCTGAGAATGACCCATTCTATCACAGATGTTTGTAGGATACCTGTGTCCATCGAAGTGAATGCAACTCCTCAAAACAATGAGCTGATTGGGTGGGTGAGTACGTTTTTTGGAATATGTTATACAATGCTTCCACACTTAAATGTGAACAGCTCAAAGAAATCCTAAACATAAATAGCTATGGCATTCATGTCCACGATGTATGCATGAATGCCATGGCAATGACTGTAGCTGTAAATCATTTCCCCTCTGTGTGTCTCTAGCCAAGGATTAGTTCTCCACCATTACACAAGCAAGATGACAAAAGGTTTCCAGGAACTGATACTGCTATTTTAGCCCGAGGTTAAAACATATGGATGTTTTATGGCGTTTGCTCTTGCTTACCTATTGCAAATCCCAGGCAGAAAGCTACATCAGCAATCGCATACACACTTCCATAAACAGACACGTGCCGCAGGTCCACCAAGTAACCCATTATAGGCATCATAGAGGAATCCACCATGCCTGTAACACAATCATAATGCTCTTACATGATCAAAGTCTGCACACATTCATAGGTGGAATCAGTACACGTAGTAATCTTACCAATGGCAAAACCAACACCAAAGTTAGGAAGAATCAGACCATAGATGTCTCTAGCAAAGGGAACCTAGAACAAACAAATGATCATTTTAATGAATAATATAAAATATATAATAATCAGCAATTTTAAAAACAGTGAAAAAAGACAGTTGCTTTTAGATTTGATCATGGAAACCATTGAGAAGTCAGACTCCCATTAGCAGAACTGGATTTGCAGAGTAATGTGAAACAGGAAATCTGTGTTGTTTATCAGGCACATACACAGCTGTGACTCTTGCTCCAGCATTTTTTAGCTTTTCTAAATATAAAAAGTCCTTATCTGGTTTAACACACACATAAGGCACTACATACTGCAGTGAACATTTAATGGGTATAAAGTTACATTTATACCAGCTGGCTTACATGATGCATGCGTTGTTTACATTTAAAGAACAATGTTTCAGGTCCATTTCAAACTTTTTACTCAACAGGGCTCGTTACATTTCCCATAGGTGACCTCTGAAGTTATTCTAGTGATGTAGCTGACTGTCACATACTTACACATATTACACTGATCCCAACCACAACCATTCCAATAAGAGCACAAAGCCATCTGTAAGGGAGACAAGAAGTAGTCAGTCACTACCACACTGAGGAAGATTTCCTTTCACGAGAATATAAAATGTATTTTCCAGGCTAAACAGAACCTCGTCTGTACTTCCTCTTTCTTAAACAGACTCATGTAAGCACAAACCAAACAATGTCAAACAATGTCAAAGAATAATCATTGCAACCTCTAAGCCAGCGGTCTCCAACCTTTTTTGCGTCACGGACCGGTTTATGCCTGACAATATTTTCACGGACCGGCCTTTAAGGTGTGGCGGATAAATACAACAAAATAAAACTAGTACTGGTACCAAAAGAAAGAAGATTTATTCATAACACACGTGAAAAGACCCAGGAAAACCGAGTTAACGATCAAAACAATAACAAAATAACGCTGAATACCGATAAAACCCCTGAAAACCAGACATTTCAGACCTGAGCCTCAACTCTCGCAGCACGGAACCAAACGACTCACGGACCGGTACCGGTCCGAGGCCCGGGGGTTGGGGACCGCTGAGCTAAGCAATATCGATGCATGCTCAGTCTTCCATGTAAGGAAATCAGAGAACTTTGTTTTTCTTGGAGGACTCGATCCCTGGGGCAGGCCACAGTGATATGGTGTACACTACCAGTCAGATGTTTGGACATGGTTAATGGTTTGTCTTTATTTTACTACTTTCTACGTTGTAGATCCAAACTGAAGACATCAAATATTCATTAAGCAAGATATATGGAATTATGAATGTCATAATGGTAAATATCTCTAAACATTTCTGAAAGTAGCCACCCGCGGCTGCAAACCCTCGGCCTGCTCTCAGTGAGCTTCATGATGTAGTCACCAACATGGTTTCACCTCACAGGTGAGCCTGTCAGGGTTCATTTGTTGAGTTTCTTGCCTTCTTAATGGGGTTGGCACCATCAGTTGTGTTGTACAGAAGTCAGGTTGGTGCACAGCTGACAGCTCTATTAGACAACAGTTAGAGTTCATATTATGGCAAGAACCAATCAGCTAAGTAAAGAGACACGACAGTTCATCATTACTGTAAGAACTGAAGGTCAGTCAGTCTGGAAAACTGCTAATGTGTCCCCAAGTGCAGTCGCAACACCATCACGCGCTACAATGAAACTGTCTGACATGAGGACGCCCCGGGAAAGGAAGACCAAGAGTCCCTCTGCTGCTGAGGATGAATCCATCCGAGTCAGCAGCCTCAGAAATCACAGCTCCTCAGATTAGAGCCCAGATAGATGCCACACAGAGCTCCAGTAGCAGGCACGTCTCTACATCAGCTGTTCAGAGGAGACTGTGTGAATCAGGCCTTTATGATCAGCTGCTGAGAAACCAGGACTTTGTTTGGGCCAAGAACCACAGGAATGGACATCAGACCAGTGGAAATCTGAGGAGTCCAAATCTGAGATCTTTGGTTCCGCCTGCTCGGTCTTTGTGTGATGCAGAAAAGGTGAACGATGGTCTCGATGCACGGTTCCCAGTGTGAAGCATGGAGGAGGAAGTGTGATGGTGTGTGTGTGTGTGTGTGGGGGGGGGTGTGTGTGTGTGTGTGTGTGTGTGTGTGTGTGTGTGTGTGTGTGGGGGGGTTGCTTTGCTGGTGACACAGTTGTGGACTTTTTCAAAAATGAAAGCAGACTGTTTGTTTGGGTACGTCTTTCACCATCTTACAATAGTGTGATTGCAGCTATTCCCCAACACTCTCATGGCATCAATGCTCGTGACATTTTACATGCTAATAGTCACAGCCCATTGTTACTCGTGATGGTAGTTTCAGTCATTATGCAAATGTCCTGTTTATAGGTTTGGGTAAGCTGCTGTCAGCTGAGACTGAAGAGGTCACTTGAATGAGTGATGAAATGTTTTTCCCACTGAAAAAGGTCATTCTACATGTAGATCTGAGCAGTCAACAACAGCTCTGCAACTGATAATGAGAAGGTGGTGGAACATCCCAAAACTAGACTGAAGGAACCTGTTAAAGAGCTGAAGGTAGTTCGATAAAAATCCTGCAGTGCCTGCAAGGTCCCCCTTCTCAAGAAGACACATGTTCAAGCCTGTCTTGAATTTGCCAGTGGACATCTAAAAGATGTTCAGAGGAGGCTTGGGAGAAAGTGCTGTGGTCAGATGAAACCAAAACTGAGCCATGGACTGGGAAGCGTTAGATGAGAACCTCATTGCCTCAACCAAAAGGCAAGGATGGGTCGTGGGTCTTTCTTTAAAGAGCATTCTGGCAAAATCACACCCGGTGACCAAGAGATGTCTTACTGCTGTGTTTGGCTACAAGGGTTATGCTTGGAGATCAAGTTTAGACTGAAAAAAAAATCTAATTTCAGGTTTATTTATGTTTCGTCTTAGAGTCTCTAGTCACTGGTTTCAGTGTTATTTACGGTTCTTAGTCTTCCTGTTTCTGCCTCTGTCTGCCCTGTCAAGGCTGCATCTCTGTGTTATGTTTCCTGTTTTACTTTGAAAACATAATAGTTTTGCCTCTTGTCATGTTTAATTACTCCCAGCTGTGCTCTCCTACTGTGTCCCGTTCCCTTGTTCTCCCTGTGTATTAAAGCCCTGTGTCGTCCTCTGTTTGTTACTGCCTGCACCCCCCACCCTGCCTGCGTGCCCCACCCTGCCTGCACGCCCCACCCTGCCTGCGTGCCCCACCCTGCCTGCGTGCCCCACGTGACACCCATGACATTCCCCATGTTCCAGGTTTCCACGTGTTGTGTTCCATATCTCAGGTCTTTTCGTTTCTTTTTACTTGTTTCTAGTTTCCTCCCTGTTTAGATTCTGCCCCAGCAGCCATGACAGTTCTACAACTTTTATTTAAAGCATTTCTTGTGTTTTTGTTTTGTGTTTTGTTGAAGAAAAATATAGTCAGTTTGATGTTGATGCCAATTCTGACTAGCTACCCAACAGCGGCAAAGCTTTTCCATGGACTTACATTACATTGTGGAGCTGTTTATGTTTATCGGGCTAATGTGTAACATTAAATTGTGTCGTCAGAGGATCAACATGTTGTAAATGTTCACAAAACTCATTGCGATGCTGCTGAAGGCAACACTGTCCTGTTTAAGCACCACACTTGTAACTATGTAGTGTGAAATATTCAGACTGTGTCCAGAGTAAGATCTACAAACCTCCAATAAATATCAATATTTTCACTTCCACATAATCTAAAAGTTGTGAATAACAGCCACATGAATGACAGTCATGTCATCAAACCAGTTCTAAGGATTACACAGCTGGGTTGAAAACATTCAAAGAAGTCATGTTCATAGTAGAACAGATTGGGGGAAGAAGACAGGCGATCCCTTGGGCAGATATTGTTTTGTTAGCTTTTGAGCAGTCTTCTGTTGAAGGGCAGCGAGGGGCGTGGCTGTAGCTCAGGACGTAGAGCAGGTCTGCATGCCAAGTGTTGGGGGAGAGTTGCTATGTGACGCATCCATTGTAGTATAAATGTGTGACAATGTTTGAAAGCACATATGTGCTTGTGTGAATGGGTGAATACAAAAAAGTGTATTGAGTGTTCAGGTAGAGTAGAAAAGTGGTGTATAACAACCAGTGCAAAGTATTCTTGTGAGCAGACAACCCAATAAGAGCATTTTTGGCACATGTGCAGATACCCAGAGGTGGACCTGGTAGCTCCTATGAAGACTCATAAAAAGTACAATACCTGCTAAGTAACATAGCTGTTTTAACAATAAAATTGCAAGATGTGTTCAGTTTTCGGGGTGTATTCTTTGATTGTGCTTTGGCACACTAGTCACCTCTGACATATAATACACGTTAAATATTGTGAAACAGACTGTTTAAACCTCTTTTAGTGTTGCAACATGAGCTAACCCCAAGAATTCAAGACATGAGCTGCAGTCTTGTTGGGCACAGTTCTCTAATTTCTCAAAAGTAGCCCTCATGGTACACCATGTGTTTGTTTTCAACTAATCACTGATAATTAAGTCAAAAAACTCAAGAAGGATTAAATGTGTTGGATGCCAAGTAAAGAAAGACTAAAAAAAGTATGTAACACGTAAGATTTTTACGTTTAAAAAAACCATTATACATAAACATCGCTTGTCTGGCAGTCTCTGTAGTGGTGAAGTTAGTAAACTGAACAGGTGATGTTCCGACTTGGGTTATGGTGAAAACAGTTCTGGTGACTAGCAACAGCCTTAAAAGAATATAGCACTCGGGTCATAGACAGATAGATTCCCTGTATCGTCAAGGCTTCAATAAAGCCAGTCTCAGAAACACTCAAAACGCTGAAAACTCATTTAGAGGAGCGGAAACAGATATGACAAAGCCACCAGGAGAGAGAGAGAGAAGGAGATAAAAGTAATTTCCCTTCCTACCTCCCCATTTTGTGTGCAAACGTGCCAAAGATGTTGGTTCCAATAAGGTAGGAGATGGATGCTGGTAAGAAAGCAACGCCTGTGCCAGAAACAGACACACAGAGACATGAGAGGCTGAAGGTGTAGCCAGGATTCCCAGAGATAAGCAGATCTCTATCAATGCCTCATCACTGAGCTGCTGTACATCTTCTATTGTCCGTAATGAAGACCTGTGCTTTCCACCTGCCAGCATCTGACACCCTAATATCCTGTTCCCCCTCATCCTTTTTATCTGACCCAGACTTTATATAAAGCTGGCTGCAGGAAGAAGCTAATAACAGCACAGACTACAGGAAGTCTTGGTATGGAAACTATCTGGCATGATGGCGAAGTGGCACTTTTACACGACATCACTATATATAAAATATAAATGTAGTATATAAATGAAATTAAAGTTTAGTTATGTAGTGCGCAATCACAACAACATTCGCCTCAGGAAGCTTGTGTACAGCTACAGGTAAGGACCCTGATATAGAGACAGCCCTCTATAAGAAAGCCCTTGGCGACAGCGGGAAGGAAGAACTCCCTCTTAGCCGGGGGAGATCTGTAGAAGAACGGCTCTTCTGAAACAGGAAGCAGGTGACCATACATGCATGTGTGCAGATATTTACTGTGAAACAGATGAGTGGTGTTCACACAGCAGTGCAAGGACACTGTCTCTTTTCTCTGCCTCCATGATATTTGTATGAAAATACTACCTAATCATAATCATTGTATACGAGCTGTAAGGACTCTGTAAACAGTGGTTGACTGTGCTGTTACACAAAAATGATCATTCTGTTTGTGTAATTATAATACAACAGACCTAATAGACATTATCACGGACGTGTTAATTACATTTACTTGGGCGAGGATGCTCTACAACAACAGAAGCAGCCCCAGTTTGGGTTGTAATCATAAACTTCACCTGCAACACAAACTCAGCATTTACACCTTCCCAAGCTCAGTGGTACATGTGTGCTGTTAAACTGCATTAGGATGCTCAGCAGTGCCTTTTATAAAGGTGCTGTAACAACGTGTTTTTGTGTGCAGAGCAGAGCTTTGTAAATACCTAGCTGCCATTTCCTGGCACACATGGTCTCCATCATCCAGATTGGCACAGTTGGCTCCATCATGCCAATAGCCATATTTCCAAAACAAATGGCACCTGGGGATGAAGATTGAAGATAAGTGCGGCGTCAATTATCGTCTGTTTTTAACCTGACGTTTTTCCCCAGCTCCGACGTCCACACACCGACGAGCGTACAGCCTGCTTTCTTTCTTCCCATGTTGCCACATAATTGACATGCAGGGAAAAGCTGACATATGACATTTCACAGACACGAGGAGCAAACAAAGGCCTTACAGTGACAGAGGGACCAGGCTGAGTATGATCCATCACACAGGTCTGCAGAAACAAAACGAGTGCGTGGGGGGATTTTTGGTCAATGCGATGTTTTTTGGGTCCTGAATCCAAAAATGATCTCCCTCCATCATGAAGTTATTATTTTGCAAAACATGAAGAGCTTACATTTAAAAAAAAAGCACAACAGCAATGAAAATCAATATTTTAGTACAATGAGCTATGCATCATTGTTGTGATTTCTTACCTTTGGCTATGAACAAAATAAACCTGGTTGGATTTGATCGTCTGAGCTCCTCACACCATCAAACCCGCCGCACCCTCCCCCTCATTTCCTCCCATTTTCTATTTGTGTTTCTCTCGAGTCTCGCTCGTAGGATTATTACATTAATGTAAGAAATCTTTGTGGGATATGGGTTTTGACTCAAGTACAGGATATCAGATTTCAGTTTAAAAAGGGAAATTGTATGCTTAACTACACTAAAAACATGAGTTTTGCAAGAAAACTGAACCAGATGGAAAATCTATAAGAAACAGTGATTTAACCCCATGCAGCTTTGTGGTTGCAGACCCGTGTTATGAATGGAAATCACCCACGACAGAGTGTAAAAGGAGAGCGGTACAGGCCAACCTCAGAGTTTGGTTGGCAAAGGTCATATCTGAGGAAAAGTCCACAGTATACGAAGGACCAGAATGACAATAATCATCTGTCATATTCAGTCTTCCCACAGAAGCTGTGACTGCAGTATGTTTGTGCTTGTGTAACTTGTGCTTTTTAAGGTAAATTAATAAATCAAGGCAAATATATTTCCTGTATATAACTTCTGCTTCTACATGTACCTGGAAAATTTGCCTTTGCTAAAGAAATAACTGCTGCTATAATCAACCCATTTGTGATGTTATTATGACTACTGTAGGAGACTGTCTGACTATCGAGACAGTTATCGTCATAAAGAGCTCTATGCAAAAGGCAAAGCTCACAATTCAACACTGCGAGCTCTAATGCTGCCCGAGGATGAGTGGGCCAGCAAAGATAATCCATGTCAGGGACCGTGGGGGATTCTGAACTCCCTGGATGCCCGAACTGTATAAATGTACGCATGTACCCTTTGTACTACAAACATTACTACATCTCGACAGGGACATTCTTGAGCGCACCTATAAAAGCCAGAGGAAGTGGCACAGCTGTTTACTATGAGCAGCTGCATTTGCAATAAGGTCACAGTGTTTATTTTGGTGGACTGATTGTGCAGCACTCATCTCACAACACAATTTGGAGCCGTATTCTTTTCTGTGTGACCAACAAAGCAACTGCTGGCTCTCTGTTTGGCTGCTGTTTCCTTCTGTTCTCTTCCCAGTGCCATCAAAAACACAATATCTCACTGACATGATGTTTGTCACATCTACTGTGTACTACCACTCCCTTACCTGCTGCTATTATTATATATGGATCCTTCATCAGTGTCAGCAGTGGGGTTCCCTTCTGACTCTGTGAGGAGGAGAGCACAACCACAGAGTGTATGCAGAAAGCTTGGAGAGCCACTGCCAACACAGCTGATCATTTTAGTAAGCACAATCCTGATTCTTTGTTATACAAGTTCACACAGTTTAACTTAATTATACTGATATAGCTCCAAATCCCACCAACACTCATCTCTAGGTGCTTCGTGATGTACGTAATAGTGACTTCAGTTATGCAGTGCAACAGTTAGGACAAACGTTACCAACCACTGTGCCTAAAAAGTCTGTAATCAGACAGAGAATGCTGCAATCATGACAAACACTTACAAATAAGGTGAATAATATACAATGAATAAATGCAGTGAGCCTAAGTAGCTGGCTTCAGTCTGAATAACCAGTCCATAAATTACTACTTGGGCCCAGTGGAAGCAGTGGGGTTATTCTGCCTCGCTGCAAGTCTCCGTGGAGCCTTAGTGACATGTCTAAAGATGTCCCTCAACATTTTAGGAGCAGCTAAGGTTAGGAAAAGAATTCACTAATGAACTCAAGAAGATTCCACTGCTTTGCTTCCAATACTAGCTGTCTAGTTGGTTGCTATCTTCATTAATATTTTAGAACATGTGTCATCCATAAAGGCACCAACGTACTGTTCTCTCTTTGTTTCCTGAATGAGTCGTTGTTCAGTGTCCGATGAGTCTTAAACTCCACAACTACAAACTCTGGGTGAAAATGAAGCCAATGCTTCTGATTTCATCACAGCTGTAAATATTACAGGAGATGATGGAACATTGAAAAATGAGATTTTTCTGTAATGTTGCAGAAGAAGCTGATAACCTCAAATAAAGTGAAGAATGTCACATTCCTGTTTGATGCCCACATTTCCCAGCTTAACGTGCTGTATGATCCCAGTATGATCCCTTTATGATCCCTGTATGATCCCAGTATGATCCCTGTATGATCCCAGTATGATCCCTGTATGATCCCTGTATGATCCCTGTATGATCCCAGTATGATCCCAGTATGATCCCAGTATGATCCCAGTATGATCCCAGTATGATCCCTGTATGATCCCAGTATGATCCCTGTATGATCCCAGTATGATCCCTGTATGATCCCGTATGATCCCTGTATGATCCCAGTATGATCCCTGTATGATCCCTGTATGATCCCAGTATGATCCCAGTATGATCCCTGTATGATCCCAGTATGATCCCTGTATGATCCCTGTATGATCCCTGTATGATCCCATGTATGATCCCAGTATGATCCCTGTATGATCCCAGTATGATCCCTGTATGATCCCTTAGTATGATCCCTGTATGATCCCAGTATGATCCCAGTATGATCCCAGTATGATCCCATGTATGATCCCTGTATGATCCCAGTATGATCCCTGTATGATCTCCAGTATGATCCCTGTATGATCCCTGTATGATCCCAGTATGATCCCTGTATGATCCCTGTATGATCCCAGTATGATCCCTGTATGATCCCTGTATGATCCCAGTATGATCCCAGTATGATCCCTGTATGATCCCAGTATGATCCCTGTATGATCTCAGTATGATCCCAGTATGATCCCTGTATGATCCCAGTATGATCCCTAGTATGATCCCAGTATGATCCCTGTATGATCCCTGTATGATCCAGTATGATCCCTGTATGATCCCAGTATGATCCCTGTATGATCCCAGTATGATCCCAGTATGATCCCAGTATGATCCCAGTATGATCCCAGTATGATCCCAGTATGATCCCAGTATGATCCCAGTATGATCCCAGTATGATCCCTGTATGATCCCTGTATGATCCCAGTATGATCCAGTATGATCCCTGTATGATCCCAGTATGATCCCTGTATGATCCCTGTATGATCCCAGTATGATCCCTGTATGATCCCAGTATGATCCCTGTATGATCCCAGTATGATCCCAGTATGATCCCAGTATGATCCCAGTATGATCCCTGTATGATCTCAATGATCCCAGTATGATCCCAGTATGATCCCAGTATGATCCCAGTATGATCCCTGTATGATCCCAGTATGATCCCTGTATGATCTCAGTATGATCCCATGTATGATCCCAGTATGATCTCAGTATGATCCCAGTATGATCCCAGTATGATCCCAGTATGATCCCAGTATGATCCCTGTATGATCCCTGTATGATCCCAGTATGATCCCTGTATGATCCCTAGTATGATCCCTGTATGATCCCTGTATGATCCCAGTATGATCAGTATGATCCCTGTATGATCCCAGTATGATCCCTGTATGATCCCTGTATGATCCCTGTATGATCCCAGTATGATCCCTGTATGATCCCAGTATGATCCCAGTATGATCCCTGTATGATCCCAGTATGATCCCTGTATCCCTGTATGATCCCAGTATGATCCCTGTATGATCCCTGTATGATCCCAGTATGATCCCTGTATGATCCCAGTATGATCCCTGTATGATCCCTGTATGATCCCAGTATGATCCCTGTATGATCCCTGTATGATCCCTGTATGATCCCGTATGATCCCAGTATGATCCCAGTATGATCCCTGTATGATCCCTGTATGATCCCAGTATGATCCCTAGTATGATCCCTAGTATGATCCCTGTATGATCCCAGTATGATCCCAGTATGATCCCAGTATGATCCCTGTATGGATGCATGCAAGTCTTTTTCCTTTCTTTGTGGTTCCAGGATTGAGCCACATGTTTCCCTTTCTTGACCTCTGCAGTGAGGGAAACTGCATTTCTTTTGTGTTTCCTTTTTTGTCATCAGGAAAAACTTAAATTGCAATTTCATAGACATATGATGACATCAGAGATCGTTACCATCCATTGTGGCTAAAGGTGGAAGTGGACATGAGGCTCCTGGACATTTTTTACAGTAAAAGAAGGTTTCATAAATATAATTAAAATAACGTATTCTGATTATGGCCCTGTGTGTATGCACACAGTCTGAACATGCATGTCCACAGGGTGGAGCAGGTGTTATGTTGCGTGTCTCGCAGCTTCTCTGTTCTCACTCCATGCTGTGTATTTACTGAAATAGCCTTTAGCATGTTCTACAGCTGTAAAGGTCGTCTTAATGGAGGCAGATCATTTACAGGAAATGAGTTATCAAAGTAGGGACACTCACCTCTGGTGTCACCTTGGTGGGCTGAAGAATAAAAAGCTGCAGAGCTGTGAAGACAGTGATGTAAATCGCTATCAGAGATTAGCAGGCACGACTTAGTTTGGATACAAAGAAGCAACACAACTGTACCTCCATCAAACAGAGCCAGGAATGCCAAAATAAGGAAAGGAGCTGTTTTCCCAACAAACTCATACATCACACTGCCAAATGGGGGTCCAACTGTGAAGAAAAGGCTGAATGGTGAGTAATGGACAAATCCACAGTGCACTCAGGATGCCACAAAGCTCAGGCTGTGTCTGCTTATTTCTTTATTTCCTGTGTAGAAATGACAGCTTCTCTGTTGTCATCAATTATTTATGCATCAGTAGAAGCTGCAGCATACAATGTTCAGCCTCAGTTCACATGTGAATGCAACACTGCAGCAATTGTCAGACAAAGCAGACTTTATATGTGTTTTTATTGTGCTGCCATTTATTTGGAGTTTTATGTAAAGATCCGGTGAATATTTCAGATTTGGTGTCTTTACAGAGTAACTGAAAAGCTACACACACATACCTAACACTCCTAATGCCAAACCTCCCAAGGCAATGCCAATGGCATGACCTCTCTCCTCGTCATCTGTGTACACACTGGCGAGCATTCCCATCCCTGAAAAACACACAGTTGTACGGATCAGGCGATGGAAATTCAGAACAGGCAGAAAAAGATCAGAACGTGTTTGTTTCAGCAGGAGCGCTGCAGGCCAATGTGTGCGACATGCAACACACAGGCCATTGTACTGTTGCTCTATAAGCGCAGGAAACAACAGCTGCTCAGTGAAACTGCATGGCTCACAATAGAGTTGTTGGGCACAGATCTGTTGGAGCGCTGAGCGCACATCAGATTATAACTCCATCATTTGTTTTATGTCATCTTCCAGTTTAATCTAGTTTATTATCAAGTCAATGATGATCTGTTCTCACACCCAAACAAGATGTTGCAGATATGCTTCAGGCCTTCAAACAGACAGTTTCCTGTAAGTCCACAATGGGACGATGATCTTAAATAGAGGGGCTCTACACAATGAATGAATACAGAACAGTGAATATTTAAAGACTGCTGAGGAGATCATACCCGCCACAGATGAGCAGGACGAACCCACGCCTTGAAGCGATCTGGCCACAAACAGCAGAGCGTAGCTCGATGAGAAGGCAAACACTTCACAACAGGACAACAACACAAACAAAGAACCATCAGACATGATGCAAAACTGCTGCTTCTCATCGTGAACATTTGTTTGCTGGAACTTACTGATAGTAGAGATGAACATTATACAGAAGCCAGCAAATATGGGAAGCTGGTATCCTATCCTGAAGGGCCACAGAGGATAAAAGGCAGACATTAGAAATGTCCAACATGAGTCTTTATCTTTAGCTTAGAAAAGAGACATTTATAACAATATCAGTGGAAGATGATTCGGTCACAGCTGCAGAAATTCATGAGAATAAAGAAAGAAAGCATTGGATTGATGGACAGTTATTAAATGAGTGAGAGTGTGGTCCAAAACAGCACGTAGCACAATAATGTAATATCATTAATAAACTTGATAGATAGCAAAGGATTTGACAAACCCTAAGCTACTTTTGCATGTGGCGTTCTCTTTTAAATGTTAGCCTGTTAACCAGAACAGTGGAGGAAGATTAGAAGGCTGAAAGCTGCCATCCGCATCAAAACAAAATCATAGCTTAGATACCTGACATGCTTGACTGGCCTTGTATTGTCCTCCGTCAGCAGAGAAGGTGACTAAGAAGCCGTAATAGGACCACATTCTTTGCTTCAATTACAGCATATGTGGGTGTCTGTATGAGACACTAAATGTTGCCTTTCAGGTGGAGTTACGCTTTTCCCTCCGCCCTCAACGTCTAATTCACCGTTTGGAAAATGTTCTCTCGCCATCAGCAGGATTTCAAATCATTCAGGACCGTTCAAATGTGGTTTTCACCAACATGATAAAATCTTACATGTCTCAGGTCATGTGTTTTATTCCAGTTTTATTCACACGCCGCGGTGGACTCTCACGTCGACAGCCGATGGATGGTTGAGCCATGGACATTTATGAAACCTTGTCTAATTTTAATGAAATTAGACAAGGTAATCTAACCCCATCAGTTGCTCTGTAACCATGTAACAGAAATCTGGTTGAAGGCTGAAAACCGGGACCAGGACCAGGCTGGACTGTAAATAAAGTAAAACTAGGACTTTACTCTGTAGAGGCTACACGACCGGATTTATCTTATCTGAAATCATAAATGAATTCTGCAGCTTTTCCTCAAGGGAGCTAGTAAAACGCCAGTTAGCGCAGCAGACTGTTGCACTAACAGGTGTAAGCTGAGTTTGAGTTTTAGGCACAGTCACCTCATGTTTCACCAAGCAGCTAATAGTGCAGTGATGATAATCTTTGCTTCTCACACTTGTGTTCTAAGATGTAAGCTTAACACTAGAGTTTGGTTCCTTCATCATGTATAACATCTGCAGCCGTGGAAGCTGGAGCTCAGCCATGGCACTGACTGCCCTTTACATTAATATCTTTCTCCCACAATATAAAAAATGTCATCTTAAAAGAATTTATTTTAATTCTTCAAGAATCTAAAAGATATTTTAAAAACCGGATTTTTAATGTAGTTCAAGGGAAGTGACTGACTCACTGTGGAGCTACCCATGTATGAACAATCAGACACACACGTGCAGGAAGGTTTAATCAGGAATTCTGCTCTATTTAGTTCAGTCGGACAGCTGTAGCTGACACTGCACCATCGAAGACACATCGACCTCACGCGTTCACCATGGTTTCCTACTAAGAACTTAAAATGGGAGTCTGTTCCTTCTCTCGTTTTAGATTAGACCATAAGTGGAATTCTACATTGTCCTCTCTTGACACAAATTTGAACCAAAATGTTGCCTCAAGCAAGCAGGAAGCCTCTACAGTCTGACAGGAAGCCAGTGCTACTGTCATCCTGTCGTCCTGTCCTTTGTCAGTCTGTCTTCACTCATCATTTCCTTTCACTGGGCTGGTTTCAGTCGTTATGCAAATGTCCTGTTTATAAGGTTGGAAACCTGCAGTCAGCTGAGACTGAAGACGTCACCTGGATGATGAAACGTTTCTCCCACAAAACGCTACGTCCAGATGAACAGAGTCAACTTTTGGAGATTTACTTACCTGGATGATGGAGCATCAAGACGTTTCCTTTGGTTATTTTCTGTCTTTTTTAAAAATGTTTTTTGCAACATGTTATACAACCTCTATGTTCTGTTACTCTTTTCGTTGCTTTCGCTCTTTTCTTGAATCTTCACAGAAGAAAAGAGCGAATTCTGATACACATGCATTTAAATCCATCGTCATGCTGTTTCCCTGAGTATTGTTTGTCATTTAAATGAAAGATAGAAAAACGTTTGACCTGACAGAATACACATAGATTGTACTTTAAGATGACAAACATGTAGGATCTAATTTAACTGTGCAAGAGATGCAAGAACTTTGAGTATGTTTTGAATGAATATTTGGCACGCTTCTACACAAGTGACAAGAGGTGTAATGCCTCCTAAATCTAAGGTGATCAGCTCAATGACTACCGTATACATTGACAAAGAAACACAGAGTAATTACAAAGACCTACCTGTTTGTGATTGGCCCTACAAACGGGTTGGTAATCAGCTGCACGGTGGCCTTGGAAGCAAACAGCATTCCTACTTTGACATTTTCATTAATCAGCTTGTTGGTGGAGCGGGGGCAGTCGGTTGAGTTTGGTGGGAGCTGTGTACCAGTAGGGGTCAGAGGGAGCAGGTCAGTAGTCCTAGCTGTGGTGTTGAACCCAGACAACCTAACAGTGTTATCGTATAAGGACACAATGCTTTGGAAGGATGCTGGAGAATCCTGCTTCGGTGCCGTGTTGTTCTTAAGCACGTCTGTCGACTCATCCAGAGTGTACAGGTAGCTGGGAATGATGGGAACTGGTGGGTATAAAGAGGAGAGACAGAACCAATATACTGAAATCTGACATGAAAGGCAGACTGATGCTAATCCAGACTTCATTGCAACGTCTGACAGCAGAGAAGAAAGTTAAGAGTGATTTCTGTAGGAACTGTACAAACCTCAAACTGGCAGTGCTTCGGCTGACACCCTCGAGAGTTTGTTTTTTTACATTTGGAAAAACGCTCCAAATATGAACACATGGAACCACTTTTACATTTCCAAACAAAACAGCTCCCGTGCAAAGCATTAATCCTGCTTTCTAACAAGGGGAAATCCTGTGGTTGCAAAGGGACACTGGATAGAGAAGACGGTCTCCGAATGATTTGATCTGAGTAACAGTTTCCTGATGTGTAAACTATGGTCCCCATTAAAATAGAAACGAAGGATAAAGCAGATTATACTATTACTGCGTGATTGAGAAGCTGCCAGCCAGCTCGTGCATTCACAGTGGTGCAAGCTAACCCATCCATCTTTTGTATACGGTCCATGTTTGAACTGCAACTAGTAGAACAGATTGGCAGATGCAAATTAGCCATTAAAACCATACAAACCAAGAGCTGTCACTAAATATTTACACATGAATTGATCAGGATCAACAACATCCTGCATGCCGTGCACAAGCTGGCCTGGTGTCACCTTCTTTCTGCTCTCCTCTCTTTCACTCACCGTGCATTCATGCCGCTCTTAAATGTCATTAACTTTGTGTCTCCGCTCTCCTGCGGGCTCTGCTTTGTCCCTCTATATCTTACTGTGGGTTGTAGCTCTGACGCTGCACCTTCTGGTGATCAGTCTCTGGTTTATCGGCTCCACCAATCATCAGTGCATTTGTTGTTGCATTGTTAATTTTTCCTTCCTCGTCCTGTTAAAAATATACTTTGGCTTGGAGTAAACTGGGTGTGTCCATTTACACACATTTATTGTTTTTACACACATTCGTAAACATGTTTATTTATTTCTTATCTGTATGTATTTTGCTTTGGTGACTGTTCTTCATAAACCGGACCTCGTATTTAAATAGTTTTGACTCTGACCTGTTGTATCTTGTTTTGTCTGCTTTGATGTTATTTGATTGTAATGCTGTATGGCATTAGCCAGGTCACCCGTGCAAAAGAGATGTTACTCTAACGGACTTCCTGGTTAAATAAAGATTAAATTAAATTAAAATGACAGACCAAAAATCGAGCTTTGCTATTAAATTCATAAAACGTGAAAATGTGCTCATGGAGGCTTTTATCCATTCTTCCCTGCACTTATGGAAAACTGCAGGTCTGTGCACAGCAGAGATGTGTGATGAATATGTTATAATTAACATTTAATGCAGCCAAACTATCAGTAACATTCTGCCATGTTGCAAAGAAAGTAATTATAAATAGATAATTTCATACATGTTTTTATTTGTTTGTAAAACAGCCCTGAAGGGAATCTAAATCTGTTCTTTTAGGAAGAGCAGGTCGTGCATAAGAAGCACAGGAAGAGATTTCCTCCTACAGTGTAACTGACATTAAATCCGATCTTTCTGTGTGTTTTTCTAATGGAGAGCAGTCGGACGTCCGTACATCTCAAACCAAACTGTGAAGTTAAACCTGTGCTATCAGCGTCTGCATGGCTCTGCCGTTCAAACGCCGTCATTTAATTGGATGAGGCAGATTTAGGTAGATATTAAAATGAAGTGCACAAGAAGCGCCTCTTTGAGACGTCTGACTGACAAACCTGACTACCTGTTGCACACAGAGAGAGAGCGGAGAGGAAACTTTACAGAGAAGGTGAGAAAAGCACCTACCGACCACCGTCAGCAGCATGTTGTCCAGAAGCAGAGCGACAAAAACAATGAAGAGAATCAGCTTCCTCGATTGTCTCTCCTCTCTGAGCCATTTGAGCAAATTAAACTGCCGGAGTGCGTCTAATCCCCCCATGGCGCAAGTCCCCGAAAGCGCAATACAATCGAAAAGGTAAGTACTCCTGGAAAGAGACACGGCAATGATGGGTCAGCAAGTTAAAATAAATATCAGCTCTTTAAAACTGACGATAAGTTAGTAAAAGAGAAAGTGAGCGCTGAAATCTTACCTTAGACGTGTAAGGACGAGCTGGAAGGCAAGAGATGGGAGGAGATGATGAGGTCTTTCTACTGACTGGACCCGCTATTGACGTCACACCCCTTTATGTGTAGATACCTGATAATACACTTTAAACAAAAGACACGAGGACGCAAACGGGACAAAGGCTACAGCTGGGCTTCAGGTCACTCATCGTACACACTGACTACTGTTCTGGCTCCTGAGCTAAGTAGCTACCACACTGCATGCATGTGTAATGGTGACAACAGCCGGAACATTAATGGTGTGACAGGTTTGCTTTCAGCGCACTTTATATGGCAGCATGTTACAACACCCTAATGTCAAGGTGCTGCTTCATAAGATAAAGACCCTGCTTTATGACAGGCAGCCCGTTTCTGTGACTAGTTGTGGGTGGCGACGTAAGCAGACACCTTAATTCATGCAAGCACGTTTTTTCGTAGCTACTGTTCACTCACATTTAGAATTGGTTAGCATCTTGCCCACAGACATGCAAACACAAACCTGCTGGTTTGCAGGTGACCTGCTCCTGATGCACAGCCATAGATCCAGCCCTGAGGTGAAACACTAACCTGGCTCTCCACTGCCAGCTGCTTCTTAGTTTATGTTGTAACTAATGAGCAAAACATGTAATAATGCATTAAACATGTAAAACACGCCAAACTGGACAAAGCAGAGTTTGTTAACAAATTCGATCATGTGGAAAATGCTTTTGCTGAACACAGCACTAACTTTAGCATCATACAAGCACAGATGGTGAACGAGTCCATATTGTCAGTGTTGCTATCAGGCACAGTTTATTGAAGTGAATATTCACACATCATGAACATTCTTGACTCATTTTACAGCTCGTGAAATGTAACATTGCATCTTTATTTGTGCTGCTTAATGTTCAGGCTGTTGGAGGACTTCCTGTGATGCACTGAGCATGTTCACAACATTCATTTTTACTAACCATGCCTGTATAGGTCTCTGTAGCACACTTTGTCTACACCCTCCTGTAGTTTGTGTTTTGTCCTGTTTCTGCTTCTTTCTTCTTTTATTTTCTGTTTCCCTCCTTTGCTCTCTTCATGTTGAAAGACAGACTTCATCACCACCGTCCGAGTTCTTGCTCAGACGGGATCATCTAATGATTGGGGTTCTGTCTCATTTCTAATATTATAGGGTGCTACAAAATATAGCACAAAACTGGAGCAATAGAACAAACTGAAACCAGTCCACCCATTTTCTGCAGTTGGTCCCAGCTGTAATCAATCACAGGGCGAGCACGGAGGCAGACAACAATGCACCTTCATATTCACACCTACAGATTAACCTAGAAAACTGGCACCAGACCACGACCGCTCCACCTTACCACTGCAAAGAGATGCAAATATTTACAAAGTTTTCTGTATTGCTCATGAGCAGCCACACTACGCGCTCTGCAACATGTTCTCTAACATGTGTCTTTTATTTTTCTACGCATTTCTCTTGTTTTGTATTTTGATTGTGTTTATTTCTCCTGTTTGATATTTGTTCCTGCTGTCTATTTATATTTTATTCCATGCATGCACAGACAATCTCATTGCACATGCACAATGACAATAAAGGGCTATTCTATTCTATTCTATTCTAAGACAGTACAATAAAGTGTATGATCCTAGTATTGTGTCATTTTGTGTCCTCTTGCTGTGGTGACTGCACTCACTGGTTGCAGCCAGATTTCAGCCAAATTCAGTTAAATGTTCGTCAGCACCATGAGCCCAACACTTATCATGAGTTTATTTGAAGATTGCTGCTTCAAACAAAGTCATGAAGCAAAGATAAAGCAGCTGCTCAGTACTGTGGGATATTTAAACCTGGTACAGCTAAGCTTAAATATTATAACAGTCTAAGTTTAAAGTTAATACTGCAGATTTGGTAATGTTAGAACGATGTTGTCTATACTTCTTTATTGTAAGTATAGTGGTAGGTAGAGATGTGCTGTTAAAACCTTCACTAGTAACCCAGCTAGTAGTGCTAAAACTGGTTTAGTGCTTTAGGCTTGATGTGTTCTCTCGGTGCCACCTGCTGGACAAAACACGTTACTGCATGAATGTATGAATTCAGTTCTAATGAAGAAATGCTTGACAGACCATCCTAAACAAATATATATAACTTTTTAAAACTGTGTGAACATTCGGTAAAACGTGCTGAGAAAGAAAAAAGTGCGTGAATGAGACAATAAAGTGCTGTAAGTGCTCAAAATGAGAAAAACACTACATAAATACTATACCTTACCATGATGCTACGTGAATCTGTTTCATTTGTTTATTTCTTCAGAATTTCAGTAAATGTGAGGATGGATGACACACTGCTGCAGACCACGGGTACAAATAAACTAACCTGTGCCTGAAGCACAGCGGGAGAAAGGATTATTTGATACCTTGCTGCTGTAAGTTTGCTCACTTACAAAGACATCAACAGTTTATCATTTGTATGGTAGTTTCATTTTAATAGAGAGAGAAAAATATCAACCAAAAATCCAGAAAAACAAACACATTGCATAAAAGTTAAATAAATAAATTGATTTGCATGTTACTGAGTGAAATATTTGAGCACCTACAGCCTCGCCGATGGTTAGCAATTTCTTTCATTCCAACCTCTCCACCAACAAGGCCAAGAGGTTCTGCCAAAAGACATCCGGACAAGACTGTAGACGTGTATAAGGCAGGTGAGAAGGTGACAACTGTTGTTGTGATTCTTCTTTTTATATGTTTGACATGCATCTCTGTTCCCTCAGCCAGAACACTGACGATGGGTGGGTCTTCCAGCAGGACAATGACCTGAAACATACCACTAAGGCAACAAAGGTATGGCTAAAAAAGAAGCTGATTAAGGTCATGGAGTGGCTTAGCCAGTCTCCAGTCCAATTCCCTAAATCCCAATCACATTAATAACTTATGTGTAGCTAATTGATGTATAAGGCAACCACAACAACATGGAAAACTCCTTGTGATTCACTGTCTCTACGTAGAAACAAATGTTTAGCCTCATTATTACAGCTGTGAAAATGTAAACCTCCTTCAGCACGCAATCGTGAAGGGCACATGCAACTTTTTCCTTTACTCATGCTTGTAAGAAAAAAGGCATGCAACTCCTACTGGCTCCTGATATGGGCCTGTTTCAAAGCCAAGAGTGAGGCAGAGACTCTCTCGGTGACCTAATCCTTTTCGCTGTTCTTAAAGGTTTCCACGTTTCCTCTGCTGATGAACTTGACACATTGGCGGTAACAGCTTACAATTCGTGTTTGGCTCAATTTAAAAGCCATGGACATGATAGCCATGCCGACAATGATGAACAGCGAGGTAAGCATGAAGAACTTGGGGTGCTTGGGTATAATATCACCAAAACCAATGGTAGTGAGGGTGATGAAGCAAAAGTAATAGGGATCAAAGTCTTTAAAATCAGTTTCCCATATTGGCAGAATCAAGCCCCCAAAGCAAATGTAGGCAAAGACGATGAAAAGAATGAGCATGAAGGGGACATTCAGTGTTTCCATTTCATCTCCTAATCCTGTGAAATCCCACAAGGCATATCCTTTGGGTGGTGGTGGCAGACGATCAAGCTCTGGGCAGGACAGCGTCCTGAGCAGTGGACCCTTCCTCAGTAAATTCTCTCTGGCAAGAATCTTTTCAAAAATCTCTTTTTTGTTTTGAAGCTGGATGGACTTGTGCCGTACATCTGCCTGGCTGCGGAGCACCTGTCGGATGTCGAGGGGCTCGCGGATCACAACGTCACGGCTGAAGACAAAAGTACCATCCTCCAGGACCTGGCGGCTCGAGTCTCTCTCCTCAGTCTTCCATGGAGACCAGGTGCGGGAGAAGAGGTTTTTGGAAAGGGTGTGAGCATGGATGTAGGCTCTAGACATCACCATAGCAAGGAAGTCTCCAACATCGAGGATGACCAGAAGCATAAGAGGGATGCCCACCATGGCATAGAAGACACACGCCACCTTACCAGGCAGGGTGACGGGATAGATCTCCCCATAACCTGAAACAACAGACATTTTAAAGCTGTAATTAAACTGTTAATGATAGGACTGGCTTTTGGTAACGTTTGTGTAGGAAAAATGTGATCATGACCCTTCTAGACAACGTTCTTGTTATACTTTGTTTTAGATGTTAGGTTCCTGTGATCACCATGAAAACCTGCGCTGGGAAAAAGCATCAAAGCTCCTGATCAGCAAACTCTGACGTGAAGAAACTTTGTAGCTGCTCCATCCACCACTGTGTGTTTTACACATGTGCAGTGACCAACAACATGCAGATGAACTGTTAGCTTAGTCTGAAGCATGTTTTAATTATACAGCTTGATGAAGGCTGACGTACATGGAGTCTACAGGGGCACCAGATGTACTAGGCCGTGCTTATTTCAAGGTTTTCATAACATTTTCACATTGAAAGTGAAATCATATAAAATACTGTCTTACTTAAATTGCAGTAACATTTAAAAATATGAACATAAAAGTTTTTTCACAAGCCAGTAAAAATGTACATCATAACATCTTGTTTTTAACAGACACTTTGCATCAAAGCACAGGACAAACTTCACACTCATTCACACTCAAACACTCAGAGTAAAGATTCATTTTTATTGCATATTTATCTGATTTTATTTGACTTTGACTCTACTTGAGAGTATTTATATATTTTTGCATTTAAGAAAATGTTTTCTTTAAAAAATAACATTTAATATGGTAAGTAAATGCAAAAGGTTTCTTTTTTTGTTTTTGACAAATGAAATGGACGAAGCAAAAAACACTGAAATTGGTGGAGAGTCCCAGATATAAACCTAGTGGGAGTAACCCCCCACAGAGGGACAAAAGGACCCCCTGATTGACTACGATGACCTGGATGACTGAGAACCTTCACAGACATATGTGAGGAGCAGGATTTTGAATTCTGGATTTAACAGGAAGCCAATACAGGAGAAATCTGCTCTCTCTTTCTAGTCCCTGTCAGGACTCTTGCTGCAGCATTTTGGATCAGCTGAAGGCTTTTCAGGGAGTTTTTAGGACTTCCTGATAATAATGAATTACAGTCGTCCAGCCTGGAAGTAATAAATGCATGAACTAGTTTTTCAGCGTCACTCAGAGACAGGATATTTCTAACTTTAGAGATGTTGCACAAATGGAAGAACGCAGTCTTACATATGTGTTTAAAGACATAAAGACCTGGATGGCCGCTAACTTTCTGCTTCTTAATTCAGATCAAACTGAGGTTATTGTACTCGGCCCTGAAAACTTAGAAATATGGTATCTAACCAGATTCTTACTCTGGATGGCATTACCTTGGCCTCCAGTAACCTGTGAGGAACCTTGGAGTCATTTTTGACCAGGACATGTCCTTCAACAGCACATATTAAGACAAATATTGCTGCGTTTACTTCCATTGTGTGTGTTATCTGGCTTCATGGACAGATAGAGCTGGGTGTCATCAGCATAGCAGTGTAAATGTATGCTATGTCTTCTAATGATGCTGCCTAAGGGAAGCATGTATAATGTAAACAGAATTGGTCCTAGCACTGAACCCTGTGGAACTCCATAATTAACCTCAGTGTGTGAAGAGGACTCTCCATTTACATGCACAAACTGGAGTCTGTTATGCTTATCTTTTCAACACCAGATAGTGGGAGGTATCTCTCAGGGAGGAAGTGAAGTTTTTGTCCTTAAAAGCTGATGTGCAGGAAAGAGGAAAAATGGGAAAGGATAAGGATTTGAGAAGTTTTACAAAGAGCAAACTGTGATTGTTAGACAACGTGATACAAGGAAGGAAAAGTGGTGAACCTGCAGTGGTCATGGCTAGCTGAGGACGGCAGAAGCAGAATGAACACACACCACCTACAACAATGATCGTTGAGGTAGACCATGTGTACTCTTTCATGGAAACAGTGTTCCCTAATGGCTGGTGCCTTTTTCAGAAGGATATTGCACCCTACCACTAAGCAAAAAGGGTTCAGGATTGGTGTGAGAAACACAACAAGGAGTTTGAGGTGTTGACTTTGCTTCCAAATTCCTAGGATCCTGATCCAATTAAGCGTCTGTGGCATGTGCACAGCCAAGAAGTCTGATTCTCACCTTGCAACTTACAGGACTTAAGGATCTGTTACCAACATTTTTCATGTACCCTCTTTAGGCTTGCGGGTGCATGTTTCTGTAAAGGTTTCTAGTGACTGTCTTTGAAACTCAGCTCTAGTCATTTACTAGTGTCTTGGCAGTTGTTCTGGGGTCTTTCTGGGACAGATCTCACATCAGTTATTGACATGATGCTTTCTGAAGTGACTGCTCAAACCCTTCATGACGTTTTTATACTGTGTGTAAACTGAAACATAACCCAGCTCCCTATCATAATACACTTTGATTTGACAAGCTTTGAGCTCAGCAAAGTTAAAGCACATTACTGGTTTGTGTTATGGCAGCTTTTCAGGGGGCTAATAATTTTGACCCTGGTAATTTTTTTCCTGAAATAATTCAGGTATTGTGTGAGAATGGAAATAATTTATGTTTTTAAAAGAGAACTAGTATGTTGGTCTGTTCAAAAAAGCCCTTGAGAAATTTTTGACAAATTGCACTCTTGCTGTGAGCCTTGAGCGAAGTCTTCAGCTTACAAGACAACACAGCAGACAATGTTCCTCTGAACCTCTACAACCTCTAATAAGCTTTTTTGCGGTTATGTAAAAGGCCTTCTCCTCTGGACGCGCCTCGCCTTTGGAGAGTTGTGGGCTTCCTGTAGCTGCTAAGCCATTAGCAATTAGATCTCTTTACCACTTGTGATGTGTTTGACAGTAACACTAATGTATCTACACAAGGCTCTTACACATCAAATCAGGTCAGTTCCAGCTAAGAATGGTTTACTCAGCACTTACAATATAACCATAACAAATTCATCAATAATTATTCATCATAACGATAAATTATGAATAAGGAATAGCAACAGAATCAGCTGTGGAAATCATGGCAGATTCATGTCATTCTAATTTGTACATTTCTGACAGCATCCATCCATCTGCCCTTTATCCTCTGCTGATCCCACTCAGGCTGAGAGGTGCTGGAGCCTATCCCAGCTGATCACCAGTCCATCACAGTGAGACACAGACAACAGTTCACATTCACACCAATGGGCAGTTTGAGTGAACTTAACCCCACTCACTGCCTCATAGCAGGAAGGTCCCGGTTTCAACGCCGCCATCTGGGTGGGCCCTTCCTTTGTATCTTCTCCCTGTGTCCATGCGAGTTCTGCGTGGGTTAGTTAGAGGGGTTCCTAATGTATATGTTCAGTATGTAAATTTTGAGTTAGAGCATTCAAATTTGAAATGATTGACTTATTAGAGCAATACAGTTTGACGTTAACACTCCCTTAAATATAAACATAGAAGCCAAGGAGTCAGGAGTAAACATCCTCTTTAGGTCTGTAGTTGGGCACTGGGGTGGCGGAGGAGTGGGAGCACTACAGGCAGCGATACAGTAACACTGACATGTCAGAGGGACAGAATAGAAACTACAGGTAACTGAAAACTGTGTCTGGTATCTGACATGACGACAGTAAAACACACAGTGTTAGCACTGCTATCTCACAGCAGGTTATTCCTGGGCTTAAACCTGGGTAAGGTGAAGCTCAAGATTCTGGTCACATTGGAAAAAATGCCAGGGTTGATGCTGCCTATGTCAGCCCAAGTCTTACAAAAGATATCGTTAATCTCAAGATCGTCAATTCCAGGTCAAAAAAGGCTTAAAAAATGAAAACAAAGTGGTTTGCTGAACTCGCTCACAGAGTTCGATCCATTTCTCATAATTAACATATCAAATTTTAGTTATCTTTAAAAATATTATCTATATTTCGTGAGTATATACTGACATTAACTCCTGATAATCAAAAACCAACGCAAGTCAACATCTTTAGACTCCCGTGGAAAAATGGCCAACACAAATTCACACATTTAGCCTTAGCTGAACTTGGCATGCCACTCTTATCAATCAAAGATGATCAGTTCTGGCTCTTACAAAAACAAATAACAAACAACAAACAAACAAAACTTTGCAGTAGACAAAACCCCCACATGTAGGCGTCAAACTAGAGAATCAACCAGACAGTGGGCGACATCACAGTAGTCTGTGCATGATGGACAGAGCAGCACTCTGCAGCTGACTTCTAACTGAGAGCATGCAGACATTCACATCGGGAAACATTTTTAATGTGTTCTGATGTAAAACGATGGCTGACTGACTAGTTTACCTCAGTCACGTGTGGTGGTAAACACAGCTTGATTCCATTTGGGATGTGTAGCTGCTGCATGATTGGTGGGCTGTTTCGCGTTGTCAACATAATATGTTTCGTAGCTCCCCTCCCGGACATCAAGTGCAGTAGGCTTCTGATTAGTTTTAGAAAGTGCCTTTGCAAAGTGTACCAAGAGAAGAGTCAGTGATCTTTGTGGCACTGGTCCCAAGCACACTTACAGAGCCTCAGATATCCCAACAATCCAAATCCCAGCGACCATCTGATCATTAGACATCGATAAAGAAAGACATGATTTGTTCTTGGATGTTTGCTTGTTGGACTGATTTTTTATATGTGACTGTATTAAATTAGTTAAAACTATGCTCAGTGAGTAACATAATTTCAAGTACTGACAGCACTGTAACACCTTCAAAGAAGTGGGGCTTATAAATTCTGAATGTACATTTTTGGAGGTGCATGTAGTCTGTGCTGTGGAGGACATGACATTTAAAGTCTGTCAGCATCCAATACATTTGGTCATTTGACTGAAGTAACTCTCGCTCGGATGGAGGGATGCTGTGTTTGAGGAGAGGCATCATTTCCGTGAAGCCTGAACAAAGCCCAGAGTCATACAATCATTAATTAACCAGGCTATCTGTTGCTCTGGTTACTAATGTTTAGAGAGGTCACTCGCTTTATGAGGAAACATCTATGCACACAATGATTATATTATAATCACTACTGCAGACAGTGACTGGGGAGAAATAACAAATCTAC